AGCCTGTCCAGCACACCACCCAAAACAACTCTCTCCATGATGGCTTGCACAACATCCAGGGCACACGCAGCCTATGTGCACTAAATTCCTCAAGAAACTTTTGATGCACACGCCTGTAATCCCAGCTTCTCAGGAGGCTGAGATAAAACAATCTCAAATTCAAGGCAAATAAGAGCAACTTACTGAGACTACTTCAAAATAAAAGTCTTAAAAAGGTCCAGTGACAAAGCTCAATGGTAGAATACTTAACATATGCAAGGCCTTAGGTTCAATCCCCAGCACTGCCAAAAATCAAAACCAAAATCCAAAATGTTATTTTAAAAAAGAAACACCTATGGAAAAAAAAAAAAAAGAAAAAAGAAAAAGAAAAAAAAATTAAGAAGAGAAAAAGGGCAAACAATTCAAAACAAGAGATGAAGTAAACTAAGCATTGTACAACAGAAAAAAGAAATCTCATCATCAACAGATATATATTCATTTATCTCAATATTTCACTTAAATATCTTAGTCTTAAACTTTTATGTATCTTTCCATGTTACTTGGCCTATTATTTATGCTACTATAAAAACATCAGCATCTGTTGGTTATTAATTGACAAAATAAAAATTTCTAAATTGCAAAAAAAAAAAAAAAAAAAACTAAATTCTGAATTTTTTTTGAGACAAGGTCTCACTATGTAGCTCACGCTGGCCTTGACCCCACTATGTAGCCTAGGCTGGCCTTGAACTCATGACAATCCTCTTCTCTCAGCTTCCCAAGTGCTGGGATTACAGGCATGTACCACCATACCTGATTATATTCTGAATTTTTAGCTATACCAAAATTACAGAAGTAAAAAATGGGACAAGTAAATTAGTTGACTTCTTTTAATGTCCAGAGGGACATAACATTGGGTTAAAAAAAACTCATCTCATACTTTTCTACTGTAAATTTGTATGTTAGCATAATAGTAGCTGGTTGTGCATCTCAGTAGCTATGCCGGGGGGTGGTTCTAGGGAGCAATCTTTGGGTTTACCCATTTGGTATGACGCACAGCAAGGTCTGTGAATGTGTGCAAAAATGTCAAACTGAGATTTTTACCCACATTTATGCTCTGTTTAACTGGTTTTACATACATGTACCTGAGCATCATGGGTAGTAAAATGTGTCTGCATCATTTTGCTATGTACTCTCCCATCACAAAATGCGAGTTTATTTTGATTTTCTAGCAGAGTAGCTCAATTCAGTACAATAGTACTTGAAAAGCCAGATCTCTGACAAGCAAGACAGCTCAGTGGACTAAGCATCTGTTTAGACAAGCACAGGAGCCAGGATTTGATCTCCAGGACCACATGCTGTGCTGCCCCTGCCCCTGGGCATGCTGAGCTGGCCACTGAGATGGGGTGTGGTGGTACATGCCTGTAATCCCAGTGGTGGAGAGGCTGAAAATAGCAGGATCAGTGCAACTCAATGCTGCATTGTGAGACCTTGTATAACAAATATATTTTAAAAAAAAAGAAAAGAAAGAAAGAAAGAAGAAAGAAGAAAAAGAAAGAAAGAAAGAGAAAAGCCAGGTCTCTAAGTTTTGGAGGAGGTCAAAAGTGAATCATCAGATCACGTATGCATGGAAGATGAAGATGATAATGACTTTGACGTTGGCCACATGAGCCAAAATTTTTGTGACAGTAAAATGGAGCAAGAATAGATTGATACAGACATAGAGAATGTAGACTTCTTTGATTTAGATGATGAAGAAAACGTCAATATGAGTACGTATTTGACTAGTTAAAATGTTGTAAAATGACATGAACCAAGTGCAACAACCCAATGTTAGAGCAAGGTCCAAAAATAGAGTGAGGATCCTGGAAGTGGTGAAATCCATTCGACAGAATGCCAGCGCTGCCAGTCAATGTTGGAAAGTTTTCATAGCAAACAAAATCCTACAAGATGTGAAATACACAAATGTTGAAAGACAAGTAAAACATTCTGTGTGTACCGATAGCCGCACTAAAAATGTGTTTATTATGGCACCTCCCTAGCAGAACTGAAAGCCTTCCTAGGCTTTCTGTACTTAGCAGGGCTTCCTCATGGTCACTGCAGGGACATAAAAGACTTATGAAGAAGTGATGGGTGTGGTCTCGAGGTTTGTAGAATAACAGTGACACTGAAGTCATTTGTTTTCTTTTAAAATTGCCTGAGGTTTGATGATAAAACCACCCACCAAGAAAGAAAAAGCTGATAATCTGGCAGCTTTCCACTCACTGTTGGAGAGATTTGTGAGTAATTGTGAAGCAATTTATATACCATTTGAATACATGACTATTTTTTTTAAGGTAACTTATTTT